CAGCTCCGACTTCCCTGCGAGCCCCACACGGTCAGTCCGCCTATTATCCTCAATGACGTTTTCATTAACCTAACGCTGGGATAGTAATTTGAAATAGACCGTTAACGCCTCCTTCCAAATCTTTACCGGTCATTTGTACCTCATTCAAAGACATTTAACCTCAGCGTTTCAAACAGTGCACTTAAGTAACAGACGAATCGAAGATGACTATCATCTATCGTGTAGCCTTGTAGACGTTTGACGACGTTTCTGTGGTGTTCACTCAACGGCGCGACATACCAGAAGACACAGCCGTCCTCGTACTCGTCGTCAGACCCGGAAAATTCATCTAATTTACGAATCTTTCAATATGTCGTCGTCCGAATGGTCTCGGCCGAGGCACCAAGTGTCCTGACTTACATTTCTCGCCGTTTTACTCATCCCTACAGACGAATACAGGGGTACTTTCTTCTAGGGCCTCTGCACCTCACCACGAATAAAAGGGAATTGTAGGCAACGTCGCCATTTACGTGTTGTGTAGGAGGCGGTTCAGATTTCAGATAAAGAATCAAATCGTTGCCTCAGACAGGGATTGAATCCTATCCGAATGGCCGAATAGTACCTTGAGACAAGTCGTGAAAGCATCCTTTCCAATCCTTTCCTGTTCACCGTGCATTAATTATCCGCGACTCGTGAAGCTTGTTCCCAGTTCCAAGATTAAGAATTAGTGGAGCCTTGCATCATCCACCCATGCAGAGGGCAACTCGAAACTTTCAATGAACAGCAATCTCTCTGTCTCCTTCCCCTTTTCGGAAACGGTCGCAGTTCATAATCATCTTTTCATACCGGGTGGATTTTCGGTAAACAGCACACATCGAAGGAGTGATGGGAACTACCACTTACATTTGGCAACATCGCAAGTTTTGGCTCTTAAATATAACAATTTTAGTGCTTACAGGGGGTTTCAGAAAAGAGTGACCCGCGTTTTGATGCAGTATCGTAACGAAACTGCTAGAAGTTATCGTAAAATATCGAGTTCTGGTTTGAAACTGAGCTTCGTGAGTTAACTGGAATTCAAGAATTTGTGGCTTTGAAACTTTGTGTTAACATTTTTTCTCTAATCTATCATGCGTTATACCGATTACGTTTGCAACGCCATGGAAGATTTATATTAAAACGTATCTTTCGTAAACAGTTGAATGGTCTGCTTTGGTTCTTCGTCAGGTTGTAGAAATTCGATGGATAATCATATGAAGGAGGATGAGATGGACAGGACATGTAACACGCATGTGAGACAAGAGCAATGTGTACATTATCTTTTTAAGTCTAAAGGAAATAAAATACTCAAAAGACCTAGACGTAGATGAAAGGATAAATGGAAATTGTTGTTATAGAAATGTGTAGTGAATTCATCTGAAGATAGGGATCGTTGGCGGGCTGTTGTGGAAACTGTGATGAACCTTTGGGTTTCTCTTAACATAGTCCAGCTTTGTTCATCCTAAATTCCGTAGGAAATGACTAGCAGTCAGAGGCTTTCTCCAGAAATTATGCACACGCCGGAAATAACTTCTTCAAAACAGCTGGCGGACGGACATGTTGATTGAATTCGTGGGCGTTGGGCAGTGATGTTCCTCTCTCTCTCACACAAACACATACACACACACACTCAGAGCCTGTGTGCAGGCTGGATGTTTAGGAGGCATTTCTGTTGATTAACCAGCAAGTTATGTGAAAACGTCATTCACTAGGCAGTATTTTGAACTCTGACCTCCGACACATTTATTTTAATGATCGCAGTTTTTAGGTAGGCTAGGTTAAATTAGGTTGACTTCACTTGTCTGCCGAGCTGTGTAGATCCTCAAGGACTGTGCTCGAAGCTGTTAGTTAATTCTGTAGGTTGTGACTTTTTACGATGTTTCTGGGGGAATTAGTTACACACATAACGATACAATTTGTTGATTTCATCGGATATCTTCATTTAATTTACGTTAATTAATTATTTTTTTTTGTTCTGAACATGGAATTTATTTCGTCAGAGTTTATAGTTATGCTCACGTGCGCTTAAAGTGTATTCATAACCCTCATATCCAGTGTTCCGGAGGTCCAGCGTCGGTGTTTTGATCTGGTTTATTAAAATCAGTGGTGAAGAATGAATGAGAGACGTTTCTTCCGACACTTGTACACTATGTCAGAAATGGTTTTAGCATGGGATGAACATTCACGTTGGTAGAAGCACCCCCCCAGCGTCATCATGTTGGGTTGCATTGAACTCATGGAATGAGTTAGGGGTGTTAGTCTAGCTAAGGGCTGGGCCCATGACTGAAACGCTCCCCTTCCGAGAGGGGCGGATTCATGATACCGGTGATCATGCTGATGAAAACGTATACGCCGAATTCTGAGTCGAGAGAAAAATCAATAAATATCTATTCAAAATATAAGATTTCGCCACTTGCATCTAATCCAGTTAAGTTTATTTATTTTATTTATTGTTCTGTCTGACGACAGGTCCATATGAACAGGATCCTTCGATCCTTTTCTCGGACTGGGACCTGTTCATATACGTTCTTGGCAGATGATCCAGAAGTGGTTTGCCATTGCCTTCTTCTGTGTGTGAATGGAGTAATTGTTGGGAGGCCACGGAGGAAAACTCCGTGTTGCCTAGACCACGGCCTTGCCCAACACAAGTTATAAATTCGAACCCGAGACCCCAGGATTACAAGGCCAGCGTTCTAACCGCTAGACCAAGTGGAGCTTAGGTGCTACGACCTCCATTCGCCCTCGTGGCACAAAACGAACGAACGCGTTTGAAACAGTAAAGACGATGGGTAGTTTTTTTAAAAAAAAAACTTTGAAGTGTAAAGTGTTCGGTTTGAGTAGGCTGTCGCTTTTACGCTCAGTTTCTGTACCAACCAGCCGGTTTACTGAGATTTTACCCGTGCCAAATGTGAATAGGATCTCAGGGAGGGGTTCGGCATAATGTTTTTCTCTCCCTGGGGTCGCTTGTTGGAAGCTGGAGGGGAAAGACAGTTAGGATTTACTTTCAAGCACAGGGTGACCAACCTTACAATTCAGGCCTCGAACCTGGAACCGTGTGTGAGTTCAGGAGGGCAACACACACATTTATCACTAATTTGCGACGGCGGAGGGAGTGTGTGTGTGGGGAGTATAGGAAGTGTATAATTCAAAATTGCAACCCCCTGGCACGTACTGGCAGTTAAATCGTGTTGCGTTGCCTTTAACCAAACATATGCTACTTCATGCTCCTCCCTTTATAAATGCGTGTGTACACAGAAACCGTTGAATACAGCTGAGTTCTCATTTTGCTGTGAAGAAGACCCTTCGTACAAAAGATGACTTTTCTGGGACGTAGTCCCGTGTAGTTGTCCTGATTATACGGCGGTAAAAACATCAGAAACGTCGCCCAATGTCTACCAGACTACACGGCGAACCGTGTCAGAAGACCGCCATCTTCAGACTCAAACTAAATAGTCTTGCTATAAAGATCACTGTGACGTCTGTTTGATCATTAGCAATTTCGTGTTTTGTATTTCGTATCTGAAGGCCTTATATTTTGACATCTTCACGGAGCAGACTTCTTGAATAATCACTAAGCCATTTATTCACCCAACACACGAGATGAATGAGACTTCTTGAATAATCACTAAGCCATTATCCTGATTTTATTCACCCAACACACGAGATGAATCTCGCTCAGGCCAGGACGACAAAACTCATTGAGAACATTAAAATATTCATGAAGATGTACTGGAATGCACGTCCAGTGTCTTCGCGAGACTCCAACGCAGTCGCAAAAATAATTAACACGGAACTTGTACCACGCATCCGAATTCCGGTCACAGAATAGGGGATTACTCCCCCCATGCTTTATTTAAGGTAGCATCCCGCAATGTCTAGCGGCCGGTTGAATGCTGCCCTGCATGTCTGTCACTCTAACCTTTGTAGAATCGTGGGAGGCTTGAAAGATCAAACGAGATATAGTAGTTTCACTTCAATGCTATTCACGATATATCTGACTTATGTCATTGGCCTAAATCTATATTTTGCCCGTAGTGTTTTTGTAAGTTTCGTATGATTCTCAGAATAAAAACCTCTTGTAGGATTTGAGGTTTTCAGAGTGGTGAGTCTGAAGATTGCTGTCTTCTGGGTTATTGCATAATGTTTAACCCAGAAGACAGCCATCTTAAAACGCTATTATTTCCTTAAACAGCTGGGGCATTTCAAAACGTCGTCAGTTGTACCGAGGATGGTACTCATTGTGTTAGATTCTCTCTACAGCATTTACGAAGTCGATATAAAGTAATGTTCCTACTTCAAACCCGGTGCTGTAGGTAACAAAAGAGAAATGCTGTGTGTTCCCAGGTCGTTTCTTTGGCACCAGCTCTGTGCGTGCGTGTGGCTGATCACTGGGTGTTGATTCAGGCCCTGCAACTCTCACCCAAAACGCTGTTAGCCCCACCGAGACAAATTCTGAAACAGTCCTTAAGGCTCTTCGGCTTATGCCCTTGTTGCATTAAATTCGCTGACCCAAGTATTCAGCTGTTGCAGGGTTCCTAATTATCCCGGTATAAATTAGTTCTTCAGAAATTTTGAGAGATTTAGTTTCAGAAAGTCTGAGCTCTAAAGTTGTGTTTCCATGTGCTTGGAAAGTGATTGGCTCTTTGTCCTAATAGCAAAGCGAAAGCCTTTTGCAACTGTTGTGAGATTTGAGGTTCTCACGGCGACAAGTATGAGGATGGCTGTCATCTGAGATGCGCCGTGTAATCTGGTGGAATTTTACCGACGTTTTGGAGGTGTTTCTACCAGACTACGACATTCCAAAAGTACTTTGAGCATGACACCTGCAGTTCAAGGTCATTGCATTTGAATGGCCCCCGTGCATGTTACTGGCCTTTCCTGCTAGGAATCGGTTAGTATTTTGTTCCATCAGCACCCCCACACAACACAGTCCTTTCAAATTCCCGTCATATTTTACAAAATAACCTTCTGGCCACACTAGTTCATTAGTGGACTGAGCAGGTTAAAAAGTAACCTACTGAAGAATTTATTTATTATTCTGTAATCAATTTACATCAACTAAGATTTAACGTTCTGATGGTTGTGAAGCTTTCAGCTGTGGTAATATTTTCCGAATGTCAATTTACCGCTTGATTCCACGTGGTTACGTTTGGTTAACTTGGTTATTTAGTTTAATTGGTTATGTTGGTCGTTTAGTTTGGTTTGGTTTGTTTATTTGGCTGTTTGGGACGTAGGTCAGTCAGCCATTAGTTAACTCAGCCTCCAACATCATTGCGCTCATCGTCTTGATGATGGCGGCAGTAAGGTTCTCTGAAACGTCAGCCAGTATTCGACAGACTACCCGGCGTACCATTCCAGAAGACATCCATCTTTAGGTCCTTTAGTCTAGAGAACCAGCGAAGCAGCTAGACTCTAGAAATGTTACTGCTATCGAGAACCCTCTTGTCTCCTGTTGACAGACATGAACTCCCCATATATTTAGATCCTGCGTGTGGCTGTGCCGTGTTCCTGGGTTCGACCTCCGCTCCCAGCGTTTGTTTCTCACGTTGCTTGCCCATCCCCACGACGCGATGGCCTTGTCTTTCCGCCGGCTGGCCGGACGTAATGATCCAGTGGCTGGCATTCCTCTAGAAGGCCGCTCGTTACGTCATCACCTATGTTGGGCCCAGGGATTGGGAAGGTGGATCTGTCACAAAGGAATGCGTGATGAAACCGCTGCTGTGAAACATCTTCAGTTCCCAGCATCCTTGAAGATGAGATCAGTTGTTGGCTGAGATTTCGCTCTCATTTCGACATGGGCTTGGGTTCATTCCTCCGTAGTCCGTGAAAACTCTCTTACTTATTACGGGCTGGACCAGGGGGGCTAGCGAGCCGGGTTCGGCTCTTTGTTAACAGTAGCCAAAATTACTAATTATTTTGTGAAAGTGCTTTAAATTATTCTTATTTCCCCCGAAAAGTATAAGAAACTGGCATTTGTACCTATCTGTGACGTCATCGTGGGAATGTGGAGGCTTCATACAGGGGCAATAACATAGTTTTGCTGTTTTTACTATTGTAAATTAAATAAAGTAATGAAAGCATAAAAAGTGGTATATAAATAATTGGCTTTTGTTAACACGGCAACGAACCTCTGGTTGTTTGAGAGTCTGGGAATTTTTGACTACCCCGAGAAGAATTCTCCTAGATGTAGACTGGTCGTTATTAAGTAATTAATGAAGCAACTCCATGGTGTTTTGATTTTCCCTGAGAATTTAATAATTACCTAACTCTGCTGAGAAATAAATTTCCCTTCTTTTATAGAAAAGTCCTCCATTTTGCGTTGTCCTACATTTATCATATATTCCACGTCATTATTCTCCAATCTGTCAAGCAATGTGATCTCTTCGCCCAAAATTTTCCATCACAAAGGTGAAATGCATTTGTCACTAGTCTCTCCATGCGTGCTGCATGTTCCGCATTAATATATCAAGCTGTTCCGACTTTTTATGCTGTCATTAAACCGAATTTATTTTACTAACCTAAACTAGAATCGAATTCATGACCTTGAGCTGTCGTCAGTTTGTATTTGCACACAGAGCTGTTGTCTGCCAGCTAATAAAACTTTATGTCGTGGTCAGACGAGGTGGTTAAAGCAAGGGTGAACAACCCCTTGTAAGACGTACGTCCATCCACCATCCCTCTTGTTAACAGTCCCTCAATATAAGTGATGACCATTGAACAGACGCTGGCACGTGCGATGCGCGCAACAGTGACTTATGATATCTCGCATTTATTATTAAGTTTTTCTCAACGAGGCAGAACTGGACCCAAACGCGTGAACGTTGTCCTCTGCTCGGAACGGATAGCTGTCTTGTCGATTCTGTTCTCGGTGAAGAGATTTTGATATTGATCTTCTGGATCGTGATGACGTTTAGACTCGTAAGGCTTTAGATTTGAATTTGTATCTGTCTACGAGACTACATGACGTCATTACCCAGAAGAACATTGACATCCACCACCGTGAGAACCTCAAATATCATATTTTGATGTCAATAAAATCTTCTCGGGCAATCAGCCGCGTCAACTGGTTACCGTAGTAAACCGACGTTTCGGGAACAAACTCTGTCCCCATCATCGGGTTTCTGATGTTACTGGACATACACAGGCGACTTCCGAGGTATCCAGTCACATCAGAACCCTGCTGATGGTGACAGAGTTGGTTCCCGAATCGTCGGTTTACTATGGTAACCAGTTGACGCAGCTGTTTGCCCGAGATTTTATTGATTGTACTCGCCGCGAAAGTCTCAAATCCTATATTTTGATGTAATTTTTGTATTGTAACTAACTAACTAACTAACTAGATGGCTTACCGAACCCGAAGGTTCATCACCGAATTAACCAAATCCCTCCACCTGGGCCAACAAAATCCAGTTTCCTTCAAAACTTTTGTATTGTATTCTTCGAAAAATACAAACCTGAAACGAAGGGCTTACTTTCTTGCGACATCTACGAATTGGTTTGGAAGCCTCAGTGAACGCGAAAACTTAACTCTCAAGATGTAAAGTATCTTAAGAATATTCCTGCTTGTATGTTAAGATTTCTTGGCTGTGTGTGCAAATGTCTGATTTTCTAGGGACTTTGATGCATGGAATTGTTTATTATGGTTTGTTTTTCTCTGTTCACAAGTAAACACAACCCGTCTCCATGGCAACGACCAGTTGGCTAATGATATTTTTTGAAAATAATTTGTGTTTGTTGTGGGTAAACCCAAAACCCAAAAATAAACTGTGTGTGAGGGCAAAATGAGGATTGATTGTGTTGCAACTTTAAAACTGTGGTTAACCCTGCGAATAACCCCAGTACATTACAAACACGTGACTCCGAAACTCGCAAACGGCATAAAAATATTGCCAATATCCGCAGGTCTTTTAAGAAGTTTTGTGACGTGAGGATAATGTGCAGTGCATAGCAGGGTGTACTTAGCCCCTTGTTCTGGTTAAGAGAGGGGTGGGGTGGGGGGGGCTACAAGCATTTGCATAATCCGTCAATTTACTGCGGGCAGTTTTTTGAAGGGGTGAAGAACTTTTCATATGCAGGGAGGTTAATCCATCTAATTGCAGTCCTGACCGTTCCGGTGTGGCACTCGCTAATCCGGTGTGTCGCGTGCAACTGACCGGTCCTGCACGCGCTCCACGACGAACTGACCACTGCTGACCACCGGGGCACAGAGGTCAAGCATGACCACACCAGTGACTACCCATTGTCAAGTTGTTTTATAAGGCGAGATGTCTCCCCTGCTCAGAAGTCGTCATGACATCCCAATTTGTTATGAATTGAAGTGTTTAGGGCGACAGCCAGTAAGTAGCCTGAGACAGTTCACATCCTTATCGCCCTGAGATCCCCAATTCCACAGTTCTCTTCCACAATTGGGTTATATAGGCTTCAAACCACAGTCATGTACGTATTTGTCGTGGGACATACCCGGTCCGCCACGTCCTCGTTGATTTGGTCACTCTTAACCGTAGGATGTCGATGAGGTCGAAGGGAAGGGGGAGAAAGCGTCAAGGGATGAGACAATTTGGCAGACCTAGGTGTAGGAGGGAAGATAATATTAAAGGGGGGATATCTGATATGGACCGGATTTATTATATACAGGAATACCTCGTTTAATTGCGCTTCGAAGATATTGCGTTTCTTAACAAATTGAATGTTTGTGGCAGCCCTGCGTCGAGCAAGTCTATCGGCGCCATTTTTCCAACAGCACGTGCTCACTTCGTGTCTGTTTGTCACATTTTGGTAATTCTCGCAATGTTTTTTTTAGACTTAATGCTATTGCACACTTAATAGACTACAGTATAGAGTAAACATAACTTTTACATGCACTTGGAAACCAAAAAATTAGTGAGACTCGCTTTATTGCGGTGGTCTGGAACCGAACCCGCAATATCTCCGAGGTATGTCTGTACCTCCTTTTCCAGGAAGAGGATTATCTGATAAAATAAAAACAACGCGGAACTTACCCAAGACCTAAAACTGCATTTGAAAGATATTATGGTTGTGTATTTAATGAATGTAAAGGACAAACAATTTATGTAAGACTTGAGGTTCTCACAGCGGTGAGTATGAAGATATCCGTCTTCTGGGTTATTGCGCTGTGTAGTCTGGTCGATGTTAATGTTCGTTTAATGAGGTATTTCTAAGTCGATTATTTGCAGAATTGGTGTATAGGGTGGAGAGAGTGTCGTTAAAACTACCGGAAAATTTAACATTTTGATATGCATTTTTACCTTTACAGCTTTCGCGCAACAGGTATGAGCAGCGGCCTAGCAACTAGACCGTGACACGCGGGGGAGTTTCGGTGAGTCTATTTCTGGTTTAATCTTTGAACCGCAGTGCGCGATTATTTGCTCGTTTCCTTTCTAACCGGGACCCCTTTTGCATTTGTGTCTGTTCCGTTCTTGAGGGGATGTTAATTCCTTCCCAATGTCTTTTTAATTTGTCTGTGTTGAGGATCGTTCTGAAGACCTCCCAGAGACGCTGGCCCCTGGGGTCAAGTAGTGACCGGTGGACGACGCGTGTCTGCCAGACCCCACCGCTCACACGGTAGAGGGCCCTTCCATCCGTCCAGCCCCAACGAAGCCAGACCGGACTTTCCTTCATTGACGTACTGACACCATTAACGGCAACCTCAATGGAAATAAATATCCATGTTAAAGAACGACAGTAACAAATCAGAATTATATTCATGAAGAAATTAAGAACGGATTATGAAGTCAGGGGATTCTAGCTGTCGCTGTGTCCAGAATCTTCGGAACTGGTTTAAGGGAGTTTTTCGTGTCAGCCGTGTTAATAGTTCGCCTACCGTAGTTCATTCACTGGTAGGAGTATTTTTTATTTATTTAGTGTTCTGTCTGACGACAGGTCCATATGAACAGGATCCTTCCATCCTTTTCTCGGACTGGGACCTGTTCATATACGTTCTTGGCAGATGATCCAGAAGTGGTTTGCCATTGCCTTCTTCTGTGTGTGAATGGAGTAATTGTTGGGATGCCACGGAGGAAAACTCCGTGTTGCCTAGACCACGGCCTTGCCCAACACAAGTTATAAATTCAGGCACCGCCGGGAATCGAACCCGAGACCCCAGGATTACAAGGCCAGCGTTCTAACCGCTAGACCACCGTGGCCATCACTGGTAGGAGTGCCTGAACGTTTTTCTTCGCGACGTACAGAACTGGATTTAGCTTCAATCGCTCCTCAGTTCGTTGCCAGACACTTTTTCCGCAGGGATAAATCGACCGGAGCGTAAAACTGACCACCACTTGAGTACTGTCCAGGTATACGTCGCCATACTTCTCGCAAATCCCGTTAATTTCAACGGTATTCACTGTTAATGCCATGAAACTGTCTCGCAAATTTCCCTCCACTTCTTTTTTTTTCAAAGGCGCTTACTGCCTTCATCTTCAGGTCGACAGATTACAGTCCACGTCATCCAAGAAGACAGCGAACTTCGTACTTGCCGCTGTGAGAACCTTTAATCTCATCTTTATAAACTGTATTCACTGTTCAGATCAGTTGAGCTTACTCCAGCTGTGTCCTGGTGATGCCATCCTCCAGTTCTCTGGAACTGGAAGTTTCATTACCTTACAGACAAAAGCCTCTCATCAATATCCAGTTGAGGATCCAGTCCACATCCTCACATGCTGTTTCTACATGACCCCGCAGATTTCTTCTGTTTGAATCAGTGTGGCTGTTCGTACTTTCAAAATGTTTGGGGTTAACTTAAACTGCAGAATTTTTCTTGAAGGAGGGGGACTTATTTTTATGGCTTCTAGTGTTCACTGTGAGCTTATAACGGTGCACTTGGGGTTTATTGTTGGAGGGGGAGGGGATTAAAGCCAAGCGGCGTTCGTCTTATAAATTTTACAACTTGTAAAATTTTGAAAAAAAACATCGCATTCCAACGTTATGACCTGCCGGCACTCAGATCTTTCAAAGGTCTTCGGCATTCTTTAGACACGGCCGACAATATCAGTTGAAAGTACTGAAGTTTCTTCCTTGTTTCGTTGAACCCAAAAGTGGTCTGATACATGCGAGCTGGACTGTGGTTCGACTCCTGGCAGGGAGAGAAAAAATGTTAACCGCTCCACTCGGTCTGCCGTGCATATCTGTCTTGTGTCAGGTTAAGAATGTGTGGAGCTCTGTATCCGCGCCCTCTATACGCCTTAATTTTATAGTGCTTAGGTAAAGCATACAAAATATTAACCCTCTCATTGTTATCTAATTTCCTCCATTATTTTGTTATGTCGAAATGTAATCATAAAAGCTAACAGACATCTTAATATAATCTTCTGGGTCTTAGGGACGTGTAGACTCGTCTTTGGATATCGTTTCTAAGAACATTAGCAACATCTTCAGTGTTGGTGATGGAGACAGTATGCTTCTCTGAAACGTCGACATCGACCGGTGAGTCTGCACGGCCCTAAGAATCAGAACAACATTGTACTCATCGCCGTGAAAGCCCCAATTAAGCTGCCCCCTTCCCTGTGCAGAGGGACGAAGCTTTAGAACCGTGTAAGATCATAGGTAGAGACGTAATTATGAACGAAAAATCTTGCTCTCACAACGACGTGTAGTCTGGTAGAAATTTACCGACGTTTCCGAAGTGATTACTGCCTTTCATCATAGTCAGTAGCTCTGAAACGTCGGAACATTTCTACTAAACTACAGTATTCCTGGTATACTTAGGAAATTGACTCAAAAAAACTGGCATTGTTTTGAAAACCTGCGACTAATTTCTGAATAACGAAAATAATTCTGACCCTGGGGTCATCGAGTCATCGCCAGTTTTATTTTCACTTTTCTGGTTTCCCCAGAATTTTCCATGCCCGACGCCTCCCACGTGTTTCGCGGTGCAGTGCGTTGTTAAACGGGTCGTTTAGAACCGCAGCTCCTGGTTAGGTTCCCAGATCAGAGCAGTCAGTTCTGGAAGACGTGGACGGACTGCTGGACCGCTAGCAGCACCACGCATTGTATTGATCTGACCTCACCCCCAACCCTTACATCTCTGCCACCCCCAACTGGACCACCGTCACGTCTTACATACCTTGTTCACGCTGGACGCGACTACCACTTGCCATCGCTCACCCTGATTTAAAACTGGGGTCGAACTCCGAGGAAAAACATCGGCCTAATAATTTCGGAGTTTTAAATTAGAATTTGCCATCTGAAAGCAGAAAGCCGGATGCCTCAGACTTGAAGATCTGAATATTATTTCTGTGAAAAGCTCATGAGACGTGTCACGTTAGCATGAAATATTAACTAACCCTTTACAGCCGAATAATAATTAAATGTACCATTTGCTTTAACTATCAGTAATTATGTGTTTTGTATCCATGTGCTTCGTATGATTCTCACAGTAAACAGCGATTATTTCCTTAAACGGCGTTAGCCACTTGATTTTCGTAATGGTGAAGTGTTGTGTTTTCTTCGCGGTACGGACTGAATTCTTTAATATTAATCAGACGAACTATGATTCTCAGTGTAAACAGCGATTATTTCCTTAAACAGCGTTAACCAGTTGATCTTTGTAATGGTGAGGCGTTGTGTTTTCTTCGCGGTACGGTC